CGTTCCATGGTGTCCAAAAGCAAGTTCCCAAAACTGAATAGAAAACAACAGCAGAGAACAGGGCACACTGATCTAAGTTTAATACAGCATCTCATCTCCTGCAACCCAAGCAGGTGAGCACTTCTGGACAGGCAGTGACACTCAGTATTCAGGCAACAAGTTGCCAACTGTCTGCAGAGTCAATAGCTTAAGACCTCCAAATTATGTGTGGCCTTCAGATTGGCACAACCACAGTGCGTAGAGAGCTTCATGGAATGGGTTTCCATGGCCGAGCAGCTGCATCCAAGCCTTACATCACCAAGTGCAAAGCGTCGGATGCAGTGAGTCCTGACCTCAACCCCATAGAACACCTTTGGGATGAATTAGAACGGAGACTGCGAGCCCCTCCCCCAACATCAGTACCTGACCTCACAAATGGTCCAACATTCCCATATACACACTCCTAAACCTTGTGGACGCCTTCCCAGAAGAGGCAGAGCTGTTATAGCTGTTTATATATTTATATATATATATATATACACATACACACACACACACACACAAAACATGCACACTTATACAGGTGAAACTCGAACAATTAGAATATCATGCAAAAGTTCATTTATTTCACTAATGCAACTTATGCGGTGAAACTAATATATGAGAGAGACTCATTACATGGAAAGCAAGATAGTTCAAGCCGTGATTTGTCATCATTGTGATGATTATGGCTTACAGCTCATGAAAACCCCAAGAACCCCAAATCCACAATCTCAGAAAATGAGAATATTGTGACAAGGTGGAATATTCTCGGCTCAAAGTGTCCCACTCTAATCAGCTAATGAAGCCATAACACCTGCAAAGGGTTCCTGAGCCTTTAAATGGTCTCTCAGTCTGGTTCAGTAGGAATCCCAATCATGGGAAAGACTGCTGACCTGACAGTTGTGTAGAAAACCATCATTGCCACCGTCCATACGGAGGGAAAGCCTCAAAAGGTGATTGCAAAAGAAGTTGGATGTTCCCAAAGTGCTGTATCAAAGCACATTAATAGAAAGTTATGTGAAAGGGAAAAGTTTGGAAGAAAAAGGTGCACAAGCAGCGGGGATGAACGCAGCCTGGAGAGGATTGTCAGGAAAAGGCCATTCACAAGTGTTGGGGACTTTCACAAGGAGGGGAGTGAGGCCGGAGTCACAGCGCATCAAGAGCCACCACACACAGACGGATCCTGGACATGGGCTTTAAATGTCGTATTCCTCTCAAGCCTCTCCTGAACAACAAACAACGTCAGAAGCGTCTTACCTGGGCTAAAGAAAAACAGACCTGGTCTGTTGCTCAGTGGTCCAAAGTCCTCTTTTCTGATGAGAGCAAATTTTGCATCTCATTTGGAAAACAAGGAGCCGGAGTATGGAGGAGGAATGGAGGGGCGCACTCTGCAAGATGCTTGAAGTCCAGTGTAGACATGTGCGATTTGTTTCGTTACAAATCGAAATTCGTACAAATTTTCCTGAAATTCCGAATTTCGGAAGCATCCGAATCCGAATTGCATTTTCCAAATTATATATTAGACTTGTGCGCCGTCAAAAAATTTGTTCTGTTTCGTTTAGTTTCGTAAAATCCGTTATTTCGTATTTCGTAATTCGTGTCAAAACTCAATTCAGATTCGTACGAAATACAAAATTTCGTTACTGGCTGTTATAGTTTCGTAACTGTACGAACATTCGTTATGATGACGTTAAAAAGCAAAATACCTTTGTTAATATTGGAGTCGATGTGGTAGTTGTTTTTTTTATCCGAAATACGAATTCCGTTAACGGATTCCGTATCCGAATTTCGTATTTAAAAAAAAACTACCATCAACTCCAATATAAATGTACTTTGCTTTTTACCTTCAATATAACGCATTTTCGTAACGGAACGAAATTCCGTAAAGGAATTTCGTATTTCCTGCCTTTATTGCAATGCAACTCTCAGCAACAGAAGAGAAAACCTGATTGGTCAACCAAAACGAAATACGAATTCCGTTAACGGATTCCGTATCCGAATTCCGTATTTCGGATTTAAAAAAAAACTACCATCAACTACAATATAAATGTATTTTGCTTTTTACCTTCAATATAATGGATTTTCGTAACGGAATTTCGTATTTCCTGCCTGTATGTATTGTAATGCAACTCTCAGCAGTAGCGTATCCGTATTTCGGATTTAAAGAAAATCTTGTCATGTTGTTCAACCTCATTTACAGGGGTAATATTAGTTCCCATTTCAAAGAAATTCGGATCCGAAATTCGGAACGGAATTTCGTATTTCGGATATATAATTCGGAAAATGCAATTCGGATTCGGATGCTCCCGAAATTCGGAATTTCAGGAAAATTCGTACGAATTTCGATTCGTAACGAAACGAATCGCACATGTCTATTATATATCCAAAATACGAAATTCCGTTCCGAATTTCGGATCCGAATTTCTTTGAAATGGGAACTAATATTACCCCTGTAAATGAGGTTGAACAACATGACAAGATTTTTTTTAAATCCGAAATACGGATCCGCTGCTGCTGAGAGTTGCATTACAATACATACAGGCAGGAAATACGAAATTCCGTTACGAAAATCCGTTATATTGAAGTTAAAAAGCAAAGTACATTTATATTGGAGTTGATGGTAGTTTTTTTTTTAAATACGAAATACGAAATTCGGATACGGAATCTGTTAACGGAATTCGTATTTCGGATAAAAAAAACAACTACCACATCGACTCCAATATTAACAAAGGTATTTTGCTTTTTAACGTCATCATAATGAATGTTCGTACAGTTACGAAACTATAACAGCCAGTAACGAAATTTCGTATTTCGTACGAATCCGAATCCGAATTGAGTTTTGACACGAATTACGAAATACGAAATAACGGATTTTACGAAACGAAACAGAACAAATTTTTTGACGGCGCACAAGTCTAGTCCAGTGTGAAGTTTCCACAGTCTGTGTTGATTTGGAGGACTTCATGCTTCCTTCCGCAGACGAGCTCTGTGGGGATGCTGACTTCATTTTCCAGCAGGACTTGGCACCTGCCCACACTGGCAAAAGCACCAAAACCTGGTTCAATGACCGTGGGATTACTGTGCTTGATTGGCCAGCAAACTTGCCTGACCTGAACCCCATAGAGAATCTATGGGGCATTGCCAAGAGAAAGATGAGAGACCTGAGACCGAACAATGCAGAAGAGCTGAAGGCCGCTATTGAAGCATCCTGGTCTTCCATAACACCTCAGCAGTGCCACAGGCTGATGGCTTCCATGCCACGCCGCATTGAGGCAGTCATTGCTGCAAAAGGGGCCCAAGCCAAGTACTGAGTACATATGCATGCTTGTACTTTTCAGAGGTCCGATATTGTTCTATGTACAATCCTTGTTTTATTGATTGCATGTAATATTCTCATTCTCTGAGATTGTGGATTTGGGGTTCTTGGGGTGTTCATGAGCTGTAAGCCATAATCATCACAATGATGACAAATCATGGCTGGAACTATCTTGCTTTGCATGTAATGAGTCTCTCTCATATATTAGTTTCACCGCATAAGTTGCATTAGTGAAATAAATGAACTTTGCACCATATTCTAATTATTCCAGTTTCACCTGTATATATATTGAATAAAAAGAAAACCTGTCCTTTTTACTGCAGCAGAGATCAAATGTCAATATTCAGTAAAATCAACATCTTGTTTTCTCTTTTACATTGTAACAAAAACCCACCAAGATTTTAATGCGGTGACACAAATGATTTGAATCTTTGATGCAAAATGTCTTTGGAGATGTCATGACAGGTGAAAACAAAATCAATTCTTTTTTTTACTTACAAATAAACCTTGATGCTATGATCAATACTGTTTTGAATTGTGATAAGAGGTGTTAAGTAAGTCTACCAAAATTTACATATATTTTTTATTTTTACAATTAGTCAGCGTATTGGTCATTGGCTCAGATCTTGTGTTAACACTCAGCTGCCAGTGACCTGAGGATAAAACTATAAGAATTATATTTTCAGCTCACCCAACAGGGAAAGTAAATTAAAGTGATATTAAACCCTCAGATTTTTTTACATAAAACAATACTGTAATGTGCGCCTTACTGTAACCCATGGTAGTTTCCCTTCTCTTTGCTGCTCTTCCTTTTAAATCCTCATGTCTTCTCATGTTTGGGGAGAACTTCCCTTTGCAGCTGAGTGCCTCTTCCTGCAGTGCTGGCTCGGGTTGCAAACCTATACACAGACACCATGTAGCCATTTCAGAGACAAGGCAGTCTGCTGCAAAACAGAATTTCTGCCCAGCATGAGAACAGATACAGATTTAAAAGGAAGAGCAGCAAAGAGAAGGGAAACTACCATGGATTACAGTAAGTCGCACATTACAGTATTGTTTTATGTTAAAAAATCTGAGGGTTTAATGTCACTTTAAATGTTTTAGTTCAGCATTACATTGAAAATTTAGTTTTAGATGGTGAATTATGTGAAAACAAAGAAAGAAACAACTCAGTTGTACTAACTTGCTAAAAACTGATTTGAGCTTTTTCTTTTGATAAAAAACCATCTCACAGCTTCATGTATGTTGACATTAAAAATATTTACAAAATAGATACTAATTAAAGTTACATATCAGTTGTCTTGTACCATATTACACTGCTACATTGTCCCCACAATTCTAGGATACGTGCACTTCATTTTTTATTTGTAAAATATTCTTGAGCTCTTAAAATTAATTTCTGCTTTGTTCAAACAAAAATAACCTAATAATATTTTTTTTTATAATTTAGCATTTCAATAGAATAATTCTGGTAAAAATCAATTCAAATGAAACAAGTTTAGAGAAGTCAAAGGTATGGATGATGAATGGGAGAGGTAGGGCTCAGTAAAAGGTTCATTTGCATCTCTAGTTTATTTTTTCTCTTGGAAAGGCTGAGACTTAATCAGTTTGGAATCTTTCACGACATCTAAAGAAAAGGAGAGGAAACATTTCACTCCAGAAGATGATCTCCTCCGTATCTATTTTTGTTTTAACCGTGGTTGTTATCACATGGATTTTAGGAACATTTTTCAATTCATTGATTCTATCTGCGTACATCAGAGACTGTAGGCAAAGCCTTAACCTGGGAGACTATGACAAAATTGTGTTTCTCATGGCCTCAGTCAAAGTTCTCCTCCAATGCCTGATAACATATGGTGGCATCTTATTTTATGGAGAATTATATAGACTGCTCTCCAATGAAACCTTTTTACCATTTTTTGTTATTCTCTTGTCCTCCGTTGACATGTGTTTCTGGAATACTTGCTGGCTGTCAGTCTTTTACTGTCTAAAGCTGGTCAACATCTCCCACCAAGCTTTCCAATGGCTAAAGTCGTCCTTCTCTTCGGCTCTTCCTCTGCTAATTCTGGGATCTGTGGTGGGGAATACTGCCATTAATTTGCCATTTTTTTGGACAACAGAGATACATTTTCTTCAGAATGTGACAGGGAATTCAAGTATAAACACGTATAGCTTCAACATGGACTTTTCATTTGCTGCCTGCAATGTGATGTTAACATGCTGCTTGCCATTTCTGATAACATTTCTCTGCATTATCTTTTGCATTACATCCCTGCTTAGGCATGTCAGGAGAATCTGTAAAAATGAACCCAAGGTCCAATATTCCCGGATTCAAGCCCACATCCAAGCATCCAGGACAATGGTTCTACGGCTCTTCCTGGACCTCATTTTCATCTTGAACATCTGCTGTGTAATGTTATTCTCACTGAATGTGGGAGAAGTCTTGGCAACACTGAACTGGGTTACAATTATGATATATCCTTCTGTTCAATCCATAATTCTGGTTACAGGCAACCCCAAATTAATGAAAAAGCTGTTGGTTACACCAAAATGTTTTTTTTTAATAGAGTAGGGAATGGTTAAAAAACCCCTGCCGGTTTTTTTCTCTGTCTATGTCCCACTGGAGAGGTTTGCTTTCCAGACACAAAAGAACAAAAAAAACTCCTAAAACAAGTTTCTGCGCAGCAGTTATATAAAAGTTTAGTCATGCAATTATAAAAGCTTGCACATGTAAAAATAACAAACATTACACCTTATATAAACAACCCAATTGGTAAACCATCAAGGTATACCCACATTAAACAGTAACCCGACGCTGTAGTACATGTACCGTTGATATTTTTTTTTCCAATGTTATCTGTAAAAAAACCCGGGTCTTATTACAAAGCAATATCAAAATTGATAAACCAATCCTAGCTTGCAGGCTTAGAAATGTGAAAAATTAAACATGAGGAGTAAGAGAATATCAGAGCTGAGCTAAAGATTGGTTTGGCTAAAGTTAGAAGTGGGGTGTTGGCACCTCCTGATGAAGTGGCTCTGCCACAATAGCATTGTTTTGCTGTTTTACCTATAAAATGTTAGAATGGCCCAATAATCCTTATGAATAATCCTTCTTTTGTCTCTCTGGGGTTTGCCTTCACTTCTTCCTAAAAATTAATCTTGTTTTGATGATCAATTTTGAGTTGCACTTTTTTGCCTTCCAAAAGAATTGCTTTTGGATTTCCCATAATTAGCTGCCCCGGTGAAATTGGTCACCAGGACAAATAGAGAGGGCAAATCTCCACTGAGAGGATGCAGACAGTGAAAACAACCTACTGTGAATGTTGTCGGTCAGTTTTTATCAAAGCTTAACAATGATATTGTTTCGGATTCATTTAACTGGGCCATTCTAACTTTATTTCCCACAGCTCGGTCCATTGTTCTTATAATTGGAAACTCCCAGTTAAAAAAACAGCTGCGTGAAATCTGTGTGTCCTCTTGAAGTGGTGAAAGCAAGTGTGTTGCTAAAATAAATTCATAACTCTGTAAAGAATAAACATATTAACCAATATCAGTACTAGTGACTTCTTTCTCTCTTGAAGAGCTACTGTATGTCTGTCAAAGGATCTTCAGTAATGATGAGACAAAAGTGCCAGGGCTCAGAATGATTGCTGAACAGTTTTGAAATTGTAAACTTTCACCAAAACCCCATTGAAGTCTATGGGGGATTAATTTTGGCACCTTTACAATGTACTAAAGCAAGAGGGGGCATTTTAATGGGGAAAAAAAAACATTTAAATTGCCAAATTTCCAGCTCCTTTGTTCTGTTTGTTAACAAAGTGGCTGGAAAATGAATTTAACATTTATACCAAACCCGTATCCAGGATAAGAGGGAACCTGACTCAAAAAACGGTGTAGGGCTCCCATGCATACTAGACCCTTTGGTTACCGTGAACTGCCCTCCAAAATCCATACCAGACCCTTATCTTAGCATGCAGCTTGGATGGCCAGAAAAGGGGGGCAATGAAGGTGTAGCCTCCTACTCCTGAAACATGCCAGACTTCAACATGGGGAGGGTATCCCCTGTCAAAGCTTGCAAAAACGTTGTAATACATATTTTTTTTTTAGGTCAAACAAGGCTTTTTATTAAATCCATTGACAAAAAAAGTAAAAATACAAAAAAAATACTTTTTCTATTTTGATCAGTGTTATTTAAAAAAATATAGAGGGTTATTCACAAAGCTGTCGATTGCAGTCGAGTGAATAACCCAGCCGAAGTGAAGTGAGCGGAACACTGTTCGGCTATTCACTTCTGCTCAGTATGGCTGATTTCAGCCGTACATCAGCTAAAATCAGCCGTACACCGGCTGCCTTCGGTCAGAACACATGTTCTGCGTGTTCAGCTGGGCCGAAGTGTAGAAGGAGTTTGACTCAGCTGATCCAACATCTGGATTGACTGAGCCGAAGCTCCGGCAGCTCACTTGCTGTCGTTCACTCCTATTCTCATAGTGACCGAACGGCAGTAAGTGAATAGCCGAAATGCCGCTGAGCGGCATTCAGCTCGGCTATTTTGCTCTCCACCTCCAAGGTAGCGAGCAGAATAGAAAAAAATGTAAATGAATGAATGTTGAAAAATAATTTTACAAAATGTTTTTTTTAAAAAGGAAAATTAAAAAAACTAAGAAAAAAATAGAAATATTTGAAAGAAAACAAAAAAATAAAAGAAAAAATAATTTTAAAAAAAAGACACAAGCCGACCCATCTGCCTGTGAAGAACTCCTGACGCATATTGTCGAATCTGACAGATATCTGCAAAATATAAACAATTGGGCGGAGCTAGCAGTGACATCACCGCGAGCTCTGCCCAACTGTTTCCTATTGGCGGCCACCTGCCAGAGTCTTCTAGCAGGTCCAGGGCAATAATTAACAACTGGGCGGATCCGGTCGTTACATCGTTGTTATTGTTTGACAGATCAGCATCCCCAGGTAATTTGGGGATGCTGATTTGTCATTACAACTGGGCTGAGCGAGCCGTGGGATCGCGGCTGGCTCCGCCCAGCTTTCTTTTGCGTGAAGCACAGTCGGCCCTTCGGCCAACCATACCATGCTTCGCCTGTCACCACAGCTCAGCTGAGCCAAAGCATATGGGTTCGGCTTGGCTGAGCCTCTCGGCTGCCTTTGGCTGCTGTACGGGCTATAGTGAATAGCCCATACGGCAGTCCTTCGGTTCGACTGAACTGAAGGACTCCGGTGGCCGAAGTGAGCCGAAGGATCAGCCGAAGCTACGACGGGATCTTTTGGCTCATTAATGAATAACCCTCATAGTGTTACTGGAAATAAAAAGCATACATTTTAGTCTATAATTTGTTACTTTTTAAAATAACTCAAATATTATGGTTTTGGTACAAAACATTGCCAAGTAATTTAGAAATGAAATAAAGAGTGTAACAATGAGAATGAGAAGTAGATCTAAGAATTCAAGTGTATTTCCACTTTCATAGCCAAACTGGGATAACACCTATTTCATATTTGTTACATGCTCCCATTCACATACCATAAGTTAAAAAAAAAAAAAAATTCTTCTTGCAGTTTAAATTGCTTTTATTTGGGTTAGGGTTTTAAGGGTTAAAATGTATTCTTGCTTCTATTTCTTTGAAATGTTAGGAGGGGCTGTGAGTTGTCTGAGGTGGCTTGTCCATTGTATGCTAATGAAGCTTATCAGATAAACACAATCCTCAAATTTTAGTCCCAAGTCTTTCTATGAGGACAGATCACTGTGAAAGGGCTCAGAAAAACCTAGAATCAGCCATCTTGCCTGATTTAACAAAACATATAAAAAGTGACATTAAACCCTAAAAAAATCTGAGGGTTTAATGTCACTTTAAGACATTTTTTTTAAATGTATCTTTCCGTATACTGTGTGAATAGGAGCAGATAAGGAACACATGGAGTGGGTTTTTTTTCTTAAATTTGAATGCAAGAGTAAAAATATACTTTAAGTTACAGATACATTTGCCCTTAAAATCCTGACTATAGCTCTTTGAGACTGCCACCGGGACATGTAACTTTCCTAACGTGCAGGGGAGAATAGTCTGTGTATCCAGGCAAATCTAGACAGGTGAATGTGTCTTAGTATATCTTCCTCTTTACTAGATTTGTCTTTGTTTTAGAACATGGAAATGACTTCCATTTCAGCTAGGGATCTTCGTTACATGTAAAGACAAGAAACACAATCACATATTTCTTAAGCAAAATACTTCTCCCATCACCTGCTACAGAGCACGCTTTATGAGTCAATGATTAGAGCAGCTCTACTAATACTATTGATAGCAAGCCAATACAATAACAAACAATAATCATTGAACATCTCAACTATGCTACCTAATATACCACTGTAACAAAATGTGAACCCAAATACATAAACTGTACAGTATAAAAACATATTTACCTTGTGTCTCCAAGATACCTATTAGATACTGAAAGGAAATGTTTAGAGATGATCCCATTTCAAGGGCTAGTATATTATGTGCGATACAATTCCTTCTTTAACTCTTAATTTCTAGAGGATGACATCTTCTGTGCAGTACCTTCCACATGTCCACTTTTTCATGTGCTCATAGATTTCATCATAAAGGGTATATTTATAAACCATTCCCAGAGCAAATCCTTATGAACATTTGTTATATACAAATAGAGGCATAATGAACATTTTTGGTATATTTTATTTTCAGGCCGAATGTAACATTCAGAAAATACTGCAATATGGCCACTCGATGAAGTGGAGAAGCATAGGAAGGAAGTATTTATTTCCTATGTTCCTCTGCTCCATTCACTGGCCATAATGAAGATTTACAATACATTTCCTTCAAACCTGAACAAAAAAAAATATCCTAAGAACATAAATTGTTGTCTCAATCCGCATAGCATACATGTTCAGAGAGATTTTCAAGGTCAAAATACACTGTTTAAAGGCAAAAACAACAGACCAGAGAGCACACTAATATTGTAGTACCGGTAATTACTTTTAAAGGTAATATTAGTAACAGTACAAAATACACTCACAAAAGGAGAATAAAAGGCAGCTTATCTATTGCACAGAAATCTTCTCCATGTCCAGGCCAGATCAACCCCAGCAATGGTTAGTGGCAGGGGTTGTATCTGAATGGCATTCAGGATGCTGGAATTGGCAGACCGCACAGTGTCATTGGTTGCAAGGACATAGACAAAGGTTCGGCACGCAGGCAAACTGGTCAAATATTTTGCCTATTTGGTGGACTGTGAACAACTTGACCTAAACCCAAACCTTTGCTGATGACTGAACTGGAATGAAGCTGAGACTGTTATTTCTTTAACCAATTATCTGTATCTAAAGTTAAATAAAAATGTAATTGTTTATTCTTTTTATGTATGTGAGTGTATTATAATGCACTAGTATCCAAAGTGTGAGCTGGCCATAAGCCTATAGATTATCTGTAGACTTTCTATGGTCAGATGGAAAGCGTGCAACAAATTCCTTCATCTACGCTAAACTGTGTGGATGGAGGAATCTCCCGCTGGGCCAAGCTTCAATATTTTGCTAGTCTGCCCCGGTAGCTCTCAGAATACCTGAACAATGCCTGCGTCCAATCAGATTGTTCAGGTATTTTGACAGCCAGCGGGGTCAACTAGCAAGATATGGAAGCTTGGCTCAGCGCGAGATTCCTCCATCCACACAGTTTAGCATAGAGGGAGGAATCTGTTGCACTTTTTTCCATCTGACTATAGAAAATCCGCAGATAATCTATAGGTGCATGGCCAGCTTTAGCAAGAGGTTTGTCAAACATCTGCCGAGGGACCACTGCTTCCACACAGAGAATAAGGATCCTTATTTACAGCCTGCTGGCTCAGGCTGTTGCTGCTTTCAAAATGAAACAATTTGTAAGACTTTGCACACCATTAATTTTGATGCACCTGCAGTGCTGATTTAAACTGTAAGTTCAATTTGTCTTTATTACTTCTATGTACACCTTAGATACACAACCTTGGACTATAAAAAGTGCAGAGTGTGTCTTAAAGGAGAACTATGGGGTCAGTGTTTTTCCCCATAGTTCTCCTTAGGGTAACTGGAGGACACAAACTAGCGTCCTCCCATTAACCTAAGCTCAGTATACCGCGAGGCAGAGCCAGCTGTACCCGCCCCCTCCCCCGTCCGTTCCGCCAGTCAGCGGTGGCAGATCGGAGCGGGGAGAGGGGAATCCAGCCCCTCCCCCTGTCACGGCAGAGAGGTGACAGGATCGAGAGGTGAGCGAACCCGGTATGTGTTCGTTCACCTCCCGATCTACTCAGCCGACCTGTGGCAGTCTCATTGTTTCAGGTCGGCTAGAACTATGAGGTGAGTGAAAAGC